GAAGTCAAATATCCTTGTGCTTGTCTTGACCTGCTTTATTCCCACCACCCATCCCTCCTGATTTTATGCTGCCCAATTGAATCTTCTGCATGTCTGCAAAAGTGCCTGTTGTGGGAATAAATGTAAGAAATGCCTTCCTGGAAAGGTGCTGCCCAAGGCAGGCTCACAGGGGAGTTTCAGAAGCGCTGCCACTTCTTTGTAGAAGTGCAAAGAAATGGCAACGAAATAATAATTGTTACTCAAATTTTCTTCTAAAAATGCCCATAATTTTTTAGCCACAGTTCACTGAAGCAAACTTCGGCTTTGTTGATCCCTGCCTCTGAGAGAGCAGATGGCACTCCCAAGTCACTATCCTCAATGGGCTTCTGTCTTCACACCTGTAAAGTGAGGGGTTGACCAAAGGATCTCTAGGATCTCTGGCTGAGCTAACATTTTGCCTGGTTGCTGAGATGCTTTAGGTAGCTCCCTGCCCATCAATTTTATTTTAGCAAGAACTTGAAAAAAAGCTTAAAATCTGGCTAAAGGTTTGTCCATGGAGCTTGTGGAGCTCCCAGGGACTCCTAGAGCTTACTGCATTTCTACTGTGCTTTCTCTACCTGGTCTGTTGGGTGTAACTGGAAGCTGGGAGAAAAACATTTTCTCTTGTATTTTTTTGCTCTCTTTCCTTTGGTCTGGTTAAATTAGTTCTATCCATATCATATCTGCTTTTGCTTATTGTGGTAATCAAAGGTCAAAGTGATCAGGCAATATTAGCCCAAAGGTTGCAAAGGTCTGTCTTCATCCAGGCCTTCTTTCTTTTCATCATTTTTGTTTTTTCTTCTGTCATCCATCTTCCAACTAACTCAATCCCATATCTTTTTTTAATCACAAATAAAACTGATCAAACTCTTTCACATTACAGAGCATTCCAAAAGCTTTCCTATGTAGGAAAATATTTTCCACAGATGGAAGAGAAGACTTTGTGTGTGTGTCTGTGCACATGTAAAAAGGTGGCCAACACGTAGAGAATATTTTGTAAATAAAGGTACATTTAGATACTGAATTTCCCATTTTCCCTTTTGCGTGGTGACTTTTGGGACACCCTGTATTTCACACTCAGAAGTTCATGATCTGAGAGTTTAGGACATGAGATCTCCATTATAATACAACCTCCACTCCAATACAGCCATCGGAAATATATCTTTAACTGGAGAAATAATGGTGACAACTCAACTGTGGTCCTCTAGAAGCCCATAGTCTGGGGACATACATTAAGTCATCAACTAATTAATAACTATCCCAAAGGAAGCGGTGTCCCTAACCAGCCCTTCAATTTAGAAGCCTTCGCTGTTGGCTAGAGCTCCCTCTAGTAACCAGATTTTAAAAAGTACTTTGCTTCGTTCTCCAAGGTCGCCTTCCACATCAACTCGTAATTCCAGTCTGGGCTTCCCCTCTGACTTTCCCATGATCCCATGCACTGACGGCACTGCCTGCCTGGTGCACAACAGCTCTGTGCAAAAATGTCACAAGCCGGCAGCCCACAGCCTGAATTCAGACTGAATACCAATTTTATTTGGTCTGTATTCCATAGCCTCAAAGCAAAACAAAACAAAATTAGAGGAGTTGCCAACATTTTAAAATAAAAAAATTTTACATCATACATGTTTTCTGCCATCTTCTGAAACGTCGACATATCTGGGGCACTGTGCCCCTCTTCTCACAAGGCAGCAGAGGCAGGAAGTTAGTGGCAGTGGTGCCTTTTGACAGCAGCGCACCCTCTCGTAGGCTCTAGCTTCCACCTGCCTGCTTCTGCCCTTCATGTAATCTAGTGTACAGGTCTTGGAAAACCTCTCACTTATTCTGTAGTAGATAAAAGACCAGTTCATGAGACTCCATAAGATTTTGACTTCCAAGCTCTCTTATTGGAAAAAAATTTCAAAATCATAGGTTTGGCTTTATAATCTTCCTTTTATCATTTATTTTTGTATTTTATTAAATTTTTTTAGAGATAGGGTCTCACTATATTGCCTGGGCTGAATTCAAACTCCTGGATTCAGGTGATCCTCCTGCCTCTAGCCTCCCAAGTAACTGGAACAATAGGTACACGCCAACATGCCCAGACATATAATCTTCCTTTTATCATGAAAACTATGGGCCAGTTTGTAAGAACCATTTTTCTTTTGAATACAAAACCACTGAAGGTCAAGAATATTGTTCACAGAGCCCAATGATTATGGTTTCCCCAAAGCTTTTGAAAGTCATTTACTCGTTACATTCTAGGGCTCGATAGGGAACAAAATGCCAAATTAAATGCCCACGTTATATTTCCTTTTCCAATACCTCCTTGGAGGCGATAGAGCTAAGGCTTAATTATTTGCAGTGAAGGAAAACCTTCCATCTCTCTTTGAGAGTTCATTTTTGAAGGACTTTGGCTAGGAGAATATAAAACTGAGCCAAAATACCTCCATGTAGCTTTCACTCCCTGGTCATAGTTTTCTTCCTTGGAACCTCAAGGAACAATTCTACTTCTAATAGCTCTTCAGATATTATAAGTGGCCAGTATGCTTCTGAGATTTGTTTATCCAGCTAAACATACTCAGATCCCTAATTCATTCCTCACAGATTTGTCTGCCTCCTGGTCACAGTCTTCTTAACGCATGCTATGGTCTACAACTATGGCTATGATTCGTTCTTTCCCTGTCTGAAGCATATTGCTCCTTACCCAAGGAGCAAGAGGTAGAAGCCATTTCCTCTCCCTTTCGATCTGAGCTGGCCTCACAGTAGCCAGTTTCATCTTTAGCTTTTATAAGGCCTGGCAGCTTCTGCTTTCTCCCTCTTAAAGCCAGCAACCCTGTAGGAAGTCTGTCTGCTCTGAATCGCCATACTGTGAGGAAGCCCAAGTTACCCACATGGAGCAGCCTCATGCAGAGAATGATCCTTGGCCAGCCTCCAGCTTTTCCAACCATTCTAAGTGAAAAGCCTGAAGTGTGTGAAAGTGTGTAAGGTCTGACAATTAAGTTTGTGAACTTTATCCTAGAAAAAGGACTACATACCTCATTGCTGAATATCACTATGGTCGCCTTCAAAGCACTCCCCTTGAGAACCTATGCACAAATGCCAGTGCCCAGTCCACCCTTCAAAGCAATTTTGGAACACTTTTTCTGGAATGGCCATCAGAACTATTGTAGCATTTTACCCTTGATGTCCTGAATGTCATCAAAATGTCTTCCTTTCAATATATCCTTTATCTTTGGATAAAGAAAAAAGTCACTGGGAGCCAGTTGGGGTGAGTAGAGTGTTCCAATACAGTTCTTTGTGTACTGGCTAAAAAGTCCTCACAGACTGAGGAGGTTCTGCATGAGGTCTTTCCTTTTGTTCCTCAGTGAGCTCCTTTGGGACCATTTTTGCACACACCTTTCCCATGCCAAGATTTTCAGTTAAGATTTTCCTAATTGGTTCGGCGCCTGTGGCTCAAGTGGCTAAGGCGCCAGCCACATACACCTAAGGTGGCGGGTTCGAATCCCCAGCCCGGCCCGCCAAAACAACAATGATGGCTGCAACCAAAAAATGGCCGGGCGCTGTGGCAGGCGCCTGTAGTCCCAGCTACTTGGGAGGCTGAGGCAGGAGACTCGCTTGAGCCCAGGAGTTGGAGGTTGCTGTGAGCGTGATGCCATGGCACTCTACCCAGGGGGATAGCTTGAGGCTCCGTCTCAAAAAAAAAAAAAAAAAAAAAAAAGATTTTCCTAATTGTTGGGTGGCACTGGTGGCTCAAAAAAGTAGGGCCCTGGCCCCATATGCCATAGGTGGTGGGTTCAAACCCAGCCCTGGCCACACACACAAAAAAGATTTTCCTAATTGTTTCTCTGTTGGTGTCTACTTGGTCTGCTATGTTTCTTACAGTTAGCCAATGATTTTGGTATTCAATTTGACAAATTTTTTTGCAATGTTTTCATCATTTCTGCTCATTACGGGCTGCCTTGATCTCCTTTATCAGTGAAGCTTTCTCTCCCCTCAGAATAATATTTAATCCATTTGTACACTGACATTTTCTTCGTGGCATTTCCCCATAAACTTAGACTAACATGTCCCTGATTTTACTTCCACTCTTACCATGTTTGGCAAGAAATTTAATGTTTCTGTGTGGCAAAATTCAAGCCCCAACATTCTCATAAACACTCAACAACAATAAACACAGTCAGCAAGACACTGCCACACGTTGACATGAACCCACTTTGAGACACTGATATACTGAGGTTATGAAACCTTACGAGTTGCTTCTACAGTGCTGCCAATGTAAGTGTGTTGCAGAAAGTTCACAAATTTAATTGCCAGACCAAGCTCGCAGACAGTACAGCCTGAAAGACTGCCTATATTGGCCGTGTTCAGACTGTAGAATTATGAGACATGATACATGATTGTTATGTTAGCTCCTAGTTTGGGGGTGGTTTGTCAGGCAGCAAGAGCTCCCTGAAAACCAGGTGAAGATATTTATTACCCCTTTTAATTGTGATAAGAGGACTCTATATACACATTCTTTACATTTTCTCTTTAAAGAAAGGCCAACATTTATGGGATCAGGCTAATACATTTTCTGAAAAATGTGCTTCTTTCTTTATATATATGTTCCTAACTATAGAAACATGAACAAAAAATAATCATGGGTGGTATTGGGAAGTTACTACCATTGATTAAAAAGTACTGAGACAAGAAAAAAACAAAGATGATAGTAGAAATGTTTAAAAAGTGGTTTTTCAACATTTTTTAAAGACCCATCCATAAGGTATTTAACTATATCATATTGACATTGCCTGTCCCTAACGTTTTTTTAGGTGATTGTCTAAATCCTGGCCAGTTGTTAGAGAACATAAAACTCAGACCAAACTACTTTGGGGGCAGAGATTCCTAAAGAGTCTGGGAGAGCATCAGGGGACGTGAGAACATGAATCGATCATATGCTTCATGTAAGAGACAGTCCCCGCCAAGGCAGGATTGGGTGCCTCTGCAGAAAAGAAATTACCCACTTTGTATCCTTTTACTTCCGACTCATTATCCAGGGCCTTCACTTGATCCCAATTCAGGATAATTTTGGAGTCCGATGAATTCCATATGATGTTTCCAGGGGGCTGACTTGGTGCTATAAAAAAATTAAGATATACGAAGTCACAGATTATTAAATCTCAATAGATTCTGAGGAATATCTCCTCACTCGAATTTGAGAGGGGAGGCAATTTAATGGACTATTGCACTAATATGTGTCTTCAAGGTCACTAAAATCTGATGAGATACAGCATCGCAAATGGAAAAAGATTCAGTTGGTCGCCTAACATTTATAGCTAAAAGAAGTAGCCCTTCCCAGCGAGGAGAAAAACATGTATCTTTCTGTCCTCTGGAGCAGTGAATCTTGCATGGTATTTTGGAAAGGTTCAGTTAAAATGTTAAGGTAAATTTGAATCCACTGTAATGTTACCAATTAGTATGCAAATGAACATGGGAGGTGGGGAGGGAAAATGAACTTGGGGTATGTCTGATGAATCCCCCACATATTTCTGAGCAAGTTTGCTCTTACGTGGCTTTCTGGTTGTCACGTTAACTGTTGCACTAGAGGGGCCCGTCCCAGCGGAATTGTACGCCTTGACAGCTAAGTGATACAGTGCACTGCCTTTTAAGTTGGTGATTTTTGTCGATGTCTGATTTCCAACTGTTCGTATTTTTCTAGCGTTTTCTTCTTTGTCTTCATGTCTCCAATATTTAACCTGAGAAAATAGAAAGAAAGACCTTGGAAATCACACCCACTGGGGATATTTCCAATGTCACTGGGTAATAATCTTTTTATGCAGATTTTTTATGATACAGTTAGTTTTTTATACCGTGAAGCAGAGCTTCCAGAACAAAGAACTTTGTATGTTCCAAGAAATTATCCACAGTAACAAGGGTCCCTTTTTTCTTCTTAGCTTCCTAGGGAGATGATACATTGGCACAAACCTTGTTGGTTAATTCTTCCTTTTTCCCCCACGTTTGTTTTGAGCTCAAGTAATCCCGGGTATATCAGATGTCAAAGCTCATCTGCCAACCATCTCGTTTATTTTGAAAAAATATCTCTAGAGTGTAACACAGAAAAGGGTAGTCTCATAGCTGAATGTTTGATGCCTCTGTAAACGTTCAGCCAGAAGCCAGGCCTGGGTCTTTTCTCACTTCAGTGCGTCTTAGAGGCCTCGCTGAGGGCTCTACACTTTTTCCAGACCCCAGGCAGACGTCCCTTGCCTACCTCATAACCTTGTATGCGTCCTCTGTTCTTTTCCAGGGGGGAGGCCCAGAAAACTTCAATGTCTGTGGCAGAGAGGCTTCTGGCAAAAATGTTGGCTGGTGGTTTGGTGGGTTCTGCAGATGAACATGAAAGAAGTTATTACTCATGAGCTATGTCTGGATAGGCTTCTTGATACTGGCCGTAGGATATACAGAGAATTTGTGGTTACAGAATCATCCTGAATGATTGTGAGCCAAACCCCTACTTTGCAGAGGAACCGTGATTAATAGCTGAGTGTCGGTGATAGTGAAAGACTCCTCTAAAGGCTCTGGGCTCTACATTTGGGAGTGGGTGGAAGAGAAGCAACCCGGAACTATGTAAGTTTAAGCACCAACTTTCATAGCTGACAATTCTCTTACCACGGATCCTTCTTGATTAGCATGCTATGAATATTATTGCTTATGACCTGGCTATGCTTATTGTTCTTTAGGAAAGACCCATGAAAGGAAAATGTTAACACAGACAAAGGGTACACGGCTCTGGCAGAATCTGGTGAAAATAACTGAAATTTGGAAAGCACCAGTCCAGCCTCTCCTTTGCAGCTGAAGATGCTGAGGCCCAGAGCGTATCTACCTGTTCAAGCTTACACATATTACAGTGCAGAACTGAACTCTCATTCAGCCCTCCTCAATTTTAGCCAAGTCATTTGATTGCCCTTTCCCCCGTCTCTCTCGTTTTCATAATCCAGTGACTAGGGCCATCATCTAGGAGAAAATGAAGCAGATGCAAGGAGTTGAAGCTAGTTCTGATCATTGCAAATCCTTGGATTGGCCGGACATGGAGCATGCAGAGAAGGGAATCGTTAGAGGCTAGATCACAGAGGAGTATTGAATCGAACGGGATGATTTCTTTACTTGGGGAGAAGAATTTTTTGCATCTTCTCTGACTCCATCAATGACTCAACTTTCAGATTTTCTAATATAGTCTCATTCTGCACATCGTCTTTATAACAATAGAGGTGAACTCCAATGGTAATGAGCACTGTGTGAGAGGCATCCTGAGAGCAGATAGCACAGAGGTGGTCGTAGTGTGATAGTGAGAGACATTAAACATGATGACACTGTGCATGGCCATGAACACAGTCATACCACTTCATCACTTACGCTTTTCCTTTATAAGGCACAATTAATTATAATTATTTAATGTAACCTGATTTATGAAAATACAACTGGTAAGAGAAAATGCATAGCATGCTTGGGTATTCCCTTGAAGGCATAAAATAAAATCCTCTTAAAAGTCATGATGATACACAGATATAGTTATGAGGATCTTATGTGGTATTTGTAATTCTAGTCCAGCAGTGGAATTAATAATGGCTAGCTATGTGTTTAAGAGATTGCTGGGAGATAATGAATTAACTTTTCTACATTATCCTTTCCTCAAATCAGGATACGTCCTCAGTTTCCATGTACAGTTCTAAATTGATTATACATCCTAGCATATTTCAGAATTAAAGAAGTATCGGCTATTGGTGCAGCAGACATCCTACCTTCGTCTGCAGAATACACCACTGTGGGTGGACTGAAGGGGCCTTCCCCTTTATTGTTGAAGACGCCCACTTTGACCTCAAAGGGAGAGAAGGGGCGCACGCTCTCGTTCCTGAACACGTATCTGGAGGCGTCGGCAGAGGCCAGCACCGTCAGCATCCAGCTCATTTTGCCGTAGGGCCGGAAGGCCACCACGTAACCAAAGCCTCTCCCATTCTGCAACTCCTCGGGGACTGTCTGGGAAGGAAAGGAGGTGGTCTTCAGAAATCACAGCAGTTTGATTTAAACGTGGCAGCTCCTGCCGGCTTCAACAGTCTTGTCTACCTTTTGCCCCACGTATCTTATTTGAGGTTTGGTAAGGAGTCTATTGAATTTAGGGCTTGCAGTCAGGCTTAAGCACTCATGAGGTACTGATCCAATAGCATTTAGTTAAAAAGCTAAATGAAGCACTCTACCCAGGGCGACATAGTGAGACTCTGTCTCAAAAATAAATAAATAAATAAATAAATAAATAAATATATTTAAATGACGGTCTGCAGTTTGGAGCCCAGCTCTTTGATGGGGCAGGCCCAGCTCTAAAATAGTTGGAAATGACTGTGAAAGAATCTGGACGTCGGTCTCCTAAAAAGCGACATCTCCCAATGTACCATTTAATACTCATCCCCCTCCAGTGCAAAACAAACGATCTCACTGAAGGAGAAAAGGCCATTTTGGCTCAGGCGAGATTCCTCCCACTGAGAAGGGAAGATTCAGTTGGAGGGTGAGGGATTCCTTTCATGGCCGTGCTTTGGGTAAATGAAAGATTTTAATTTCCGAGGCTATTGCCTAGAATCTTTCAAAAAAAACCCTTAAGAATCCTTTATAAAACTCCCACCTCCTCTCTTAAAGTCAATACTTAATAAATTGGTGACTAACTTTCCTTTAGGTTGTTAAAAAAAAAAATACTTACTAAAAGAAAACTGCAGAAGCAAAGCCAATTGTCAGGAAATCATGCTGGGACACTGAATCTATTGCTGGCAGACGTTTAAATCAATTGGCAATGTAGCAATTCAGGAAGAAAAGAAAAACTGGTTTTCTCTGAACGAGGCTTCTTTAATATATATATTTTTACTTGTGTTGTCTTCCCTCTCCAGACTATTTTCCTCATGATGAATTAAATTAAAACTTGCCTCTACAGTTGATGGGTAAGCCCTATCTTTTTCTGCCAGCCATTAGCTAGATGAAAGGGAGTGTGTGCCCTCAAATGGATTTTAGCTGTTACAGATAGAGGAGGGATCTTCCCAGCTATGTTTAACATGGAGGAAAATAATAAAACAGCTTAGCCAAATGCATGTTCCTTCTGTTCTGTGATTCATTTACCTCCCAGGTTATAACCAGTTCAGATTTGCTGCCTCCTCCACCACTGACGTTAGCTGGGGTGACTTCAGGGACTGTGTGGGAGACAAAAAACAAGTTATGTCAGGTAGCAAAGTCAAAAGAGGGTCAGGAAGGTTGCCTGGCTGAGGTGCCTTACTTTCAGAGAATACTGTGATGCACACACCTTTGTCCTTTGAGAGTAGAAACAGCATCGGCAAGGGGCCCCCAGCACCAGCTCGGGGAAGTGAAACTTACCAAGGAAATTGGTATTAATTACCCATTTCCCATCCAACCAGGTACAGATGTTATCTGACACGTCTGAACACTTGTTCAGCTCAATCCCTACAGACCAAGAGGTTCCAGGGAAGAGGGAAGGACTGAGGTTCTGGTCCTAATACTGTGTTCAGCATTTAATAACCGTGCCGTGGTACACAGAGAAAAGCTGGTGTGGACTCTGCCCGAGCACAGCTTACAGTGTGGTCGGGGGGTGAGAGCAGGTACACTGCAGTCACAGAGCAAGGTTCACAACAAGAAGAGTAGGGTGCACATGGCACCGACAAGTACACTGGGGTTCTGGAGCAGCAGGCTGCTCAGAGTAGGGGTGACTATGGCTTCTTGGGCGAAGGTGCGTTTTGAGCTGGGTGTTGAAGGAAGTGGAAATAGGTCGACCCCTGGTTCACTGTGATTCATCTCTTTGATCCCCAGTTTTCTCTGTGTAAAAGAGCGGGGATCGTGCTAGCTTCCTTCTCAGGACTGCTGAGAAAAATCAATTACCGTTCGGGAAAGGGAAAAGAAGGCATGAGATTAGCACAATTATCATCGTGTAACTGAAAGAGCCCAGACAGATTGTTCACACGTTTCACTGGGTTATGGAGCCGGTGACTGGGCATGTCCCGTATTAGTTAAAGCCAATGAAATAGATCTAGATGAATTTTTTTTTTCTTTTTCTGAGAGGAGGGTCAGAGCTCCCATTTTCTTAGAGACTTTGCCATTGCTTCAACACACTGGCTTCTCCACAGCCAGGAACTCTATGAAGACCACATAGAGGCGGAGGCCTCCGGCTTTACATGCGAGAAATAAAAGCACGACTGACTCAGACAAGTTAGTTACCCTCTCCCTGCGCTCACTCAAGCTGTGTATGCGGAAGGCTGTACTGAATTGCTGACTGGTCTTGTATGAATTAGCAGCATGTCCCGAATCTCAGTTTCTGGGAACAGTTTATACCCTACAAAAATCTTAGTGAACATTTATAAAGACATTATCCTTTGCCATTAGTGCTTTCTGTGAGACAATTCCTGTTAGAGGAATCTTGGTGACAAATGAACCGAAGAAGAAAGAGTTGGCTTTCGAGAGAACCAAGCACAGTGTGTTTCCGGCCACAGAAGTGGACCAAATAAGAACTTCACTCTTGATTAAAACTCATTGCCTGGTAAGCTGAGCTTCCACTGGCCTGATTTCTGATCACTACAATCGTTTAAGGGGAAGGGTGTGCTAATACACAGCCTCAGGAGGGCTGAAAAGCAGCAAGAATTTCAATCCTTTCCCTAAGGAACAGTAGCTGCCAGCACAGATGCCGCAGGAACAGACCGACTGTGACCTGGGGGCTACTCACGGGCTTCTTCTGTCCTCCGTCTCTCTGAGGGGCGGCTGGGCTCCCCGATTCCAATCACATTGGCTGCGACTGTGCGGAATTCATATTCCACCCAAGGGTTTAAACCCACCACAGTCGCAGTGAACGTCTTCCCGTCGATGAGTTCTGGGACTGAAAGACACCAAAAGGGAGTGGGGGGAGGGCTCAGAGGATTGGCAGGAAATAAATGCTGAGACCACGTCAGGAAGACGGCACATCCACCAGCATCATCATCGGCATTTGGGCAGTGGAGGGGTCTGACAGAGCTGCACAAGCTGTCTCCATTCCAGGGAGGCAGTCTCAGAACTCTCTCTGTCTGTTCAACTAATAAACGCAACTCCAATACCAGTGGATGACAGCATAAAAGATACAAAGACCCAAAGCTACTTCACCATCATTACTGTTCTCACATGTTTTTCAGCATTTATTATTTAGTGCCAGGCACATGGTTGAACTCTTACAACTACCCCATGAGCAAGGTAAAAATTGTTATAGTCATTCTTAAACAGTTCTCTCTGCTCCTTTAACAGAAGAGGAAAATGAGGATGTATGGAGATCAGTGGATTCATAGTCAGAATTCATCTCCTAAATTCTACACGTTTCTCATCTTTCCTTCCTAAAGCACTCCTGTGACTCAGCAGAAAGTCAGTAATTACAGCAAGAAATACTCAAAATCTATTTTTGAGGCTCCATAAGCTAAAATGTGAAAACAAATCCGAGTTGTTAACATGAGTACAATTTGTATGTATTGCACAAAACTGGACGTACCACTCCATCGATCTCTCCTTCAAAACACCAAGGTCACATAGCTAAGTGTTAGTGTCTAGAGGGGTATCTTGCATATAATTACTTGGTTGTCCAGTTTTCCCCCAAATGAAATCTAAATTAAATAGTGTCTCAATTTGGAGGTATTGACAGACGTGAGAATGATGTAAAAATTATTCAAGACCCAAAGAGGAATGATTGTGAAACTTAGAAAAAATAGAAAGTACTGTATAAATATAATAAAGGAAGAGGATAAAAGTGCTGCTGCTAAAAATGGGTTAATCTGTAAAACTAGTTTTAAAAAAACCCTCATATCCTCTATCCCCAAATGTATCCATCATAGAATATCTTTACTTGGGCAGCAAGTAAAGAGACTCTCCAGTCCTCGGTTACTGGCTGTAGAGAGCGGGTATGAACTTCACGAAGACTGTGATTATAGTTCAACAGATCCCACTGCTTCCCAAAGTGGAACACAGATAATTTCCCACAGTGAAATATAGATAATTTTTAGGTAAGATGCAGATGGATGCGTTTTATTGTTATTATGTATTTTTTAATGCGTGTTAAGAAAAATAAATAACAGCACAAAAGATGCATCATTGCACAGATATTATTACTTAGGACAAGTTAAAAGGCAAGTGTGAGTTGATATCCAGAAACATATTAACTGAAGACAGTACAGTGGCCTGAGGCTTGTGCACCGAACATGATCCATCATTTGTAGCTGTGTCTGAATGAGAACCTAGGCATCACTTGGCGTCTGCCACCGTGCTTTGTCTATTATGTCGAATTCCAGGAGAACCCTGAACTAAGCACCCAATATGGTACCTGTATTGACTGCTTGCCAGCCCACGGAGAATGGAGTCCTGGCTTGAATGACGTACATGGTGATGGGGCTGTGGTTGTCAGGTCCGGGTCTCCAGGAGAGCTGAGCTGTGGTGTCTGTGATTTCGTCTATGGTCACAGCCTCAGGGGGGCCTGGGGGACCTGGGGAAGAGCAGGGTGCTCATAATTAGAGCAGTGTGTTCAAATGTCTACATAAATGATCCGCTTACTTGAATGCACACGGACCCATTCAAGCACTTACTCACCCACTCACAGATTTATCACTTGTCAAATCCTTTTTCAACACCTACTAGGTGCTGGGAACTCTGATGGCCTCCACCGCCATAGAAACCATAGAGACATAGGGGACAGAGCCCCTTCCCTCCAGAGCAGTGATTTTCACCACTGTGCCACAGCACCCTGGTGTGCTACGACAGGATCTTAGGTGTGCCTCAAGCATTTTTAAAGATCATTAATTAAATTATTTTCAAACGAAGTTCAAAGCACAGTAAGTATATTCTTTTTTTACTCTTTTTTTGATCAACATGATTGAAGTGTGCCACGGAAGTCTAACTATAGGTTCGAGTGTGCTGTGAGATAAAGAAGGTTGAAAACCACTGCTCTAGAGACTCATAATGGACTAGGAAGAACTAATAGGTAAACAAAGACTTACAATAGAATATTTGTTGTGATATGAAAAGAGAATAGTGGCTACCATAAGGGCCTGAATTCATGAATTCTTTCATCATATACCTGCATTTGTAGGTTCCTACTATGGGTCAGGCGCTATTACCTGGGGATAGAGTCATGATAAAAAATAGATCCTGCTTCCTGATTTCATGAAGATTACAGTCTGCTGGAAATGGTCATTTCTACCACTGAGAATACAGATTTGAGCAGAAATGGCTTTGAAATTTTGGAAGCCACAGTGTCGCTCTGCATGTCGCTCGGCACTGTAATTGTGGACACTGTCCTCACCCCCCGCCCGCTTCCAATATGAGCACACACTTGTGTGCAAGGGAACTGCTGTGAAAATGGCCCGTGCTCAAGAGTTTCAAGGCTGTCCCTTCTTCAAAGCAATTTCAAAATTGGGCTGCCGTCTAAACACCCTCATTTGTAGTTTCTGAAAGTCATACCTATGTTTTTCTACTTATCTCCCTGATGTTCCTTGTTTCTTTCCATCTACTTCTTACACCACTGAAAGGGGAGGAAATCAGATTTACATGAGGGCTTGAAAACCGTGACAGAAATAGAGGGGTGGAAAGTGGTTGGTGGGTAAAGACAAAATAACAGCAGTGCCAGAGCAAAGACTCAACGCTACCCCATCTTCCAACATGAAAGCTCTTACCCGACAGTTAAATGCATTTTTAACAAGGCACAATTGAACCCCTCAGGAGGCAAGGTGATTTTGAGGGGACAGAATGACAAGCCTCATGCCCATTCAACGGGCATAGGGAGATAGTCCCAGGAGGGATTTACTAATCCCCAGTAGAGCAATCAAACGTACTACCAAAATACGTCACGGGGACAGGCAAAGAAGATGTCTCGCAGAGCAGTGAAAAGTTAATGGCACTTTCTTAAAGTTAGACTTTGTTCTAGAATTCACTCCTTCACCCTTTATATGATGCCCTAAATTCTCTTTCCTTTTTTCAAAATCATTTTTATAGACTCACAGGTGAGACTAAATTTATCTCCTCCCTCCCACTCCTGAATGAAATGTCTGAAAATCTGTGTGCTGGAGCTGATTAGTTTTCCACGGTGACATTTCAGCGCGTCAATCTAATGCCATCTAGATATGGCTGATGTAACCTTTGGTCTTTGGGACCCTTGTTAACCAGAGAAGGTCTAGAAGACAATATAATATATATTCTTTCTTACCAACTTTCTCATTCTAGCCTTCCCCATCTTTTTTCTTTACGAATACTGCTTCACTGGCCTTTCAAATCCAAGTACCATAAATAGAAAAGTGTTCCCCTGTGAACTTCTCAAAGAATTAAATCGATAGGAAGTATCTGAGCCCGTCGTTGGCCACCGTGTGGGAAGGAAATGTAGGTTGGCCTGAATTTGGCTACCAGAGAGCAGATAGTACTTCTCCGGTGCCATTCTATACCTTCTCGCCTCTCTGTCCACTAGGGAGTAGAAACCCCTTACAGAATGTTTACCCACTTTGTCTTAGGGAAGAATGTTTACCCACTTTGTTTTAGGGAAGTTGGGTCCCTCTTTCAAAACCACAAAATGTGCAAATCTTTGTCCTCTGAACAAAATGATAACATGCTTAGGAGCGGATATAAGTTTTTGTCCTAGGTAAAAGCAAAGGGAATATTGGGCTTGACACCTGTGTCTGCTTCTCTGGCTGCTATTAGAGCACTAAAGGTTAAAAAGAGCAGGCATCAGAGAATCAAAGAGCCAGGACTCAAAGCTACTCTAGTTTCAAATATGAAAATCTCCTATGGGTGGTGAAATACATTTCTGCCTTCCTTCTGCAATGTGTAGAAAAGCTGCAAGGGCAAAGCTGGGGATACAATGAAAGATGATGGCTTTAAATGGCAATATTAATTTATTGGCCTTATTAACTGATTAGACTAGATTTTCTTTTACGCTGCGTTTGCAAATTTCTCTTGGTATTTGGTGTTATTTTCTGTGAAATGAAGTATACAATATCATTTAAGAACTTCAAGTATTACTGATCTAAATATTTATTAGTCTAATTTATTGGTGTTTAAACTGCTGATCTAAACATTATCCTAATTAAATAGAGGATAAATTTTCAGCAACAGAATTCTTTTATCCCCAAGGGGAGCGCAGACCCACGCTGGTGTATTTTAAAATGGAAATAAACATATTTCAGTAAGTTATTTTGCGGGAAGATTTACCTATGTTGAAATTTTTTCTCTTATCGAGCCTTTATCTGAACCATTTCTAAAAGTTTTTTAAGGCAATTTAAAGGGGGAGCAAAGCACACATGATGGAATGCTATTTTTCTTGGATCTCTCTTGACAATTAGTTTCAGTTGCTAACTCCCACACATTTCACTCCTCACGTTATGCGGAGAGGATATAGCAACACATTTTTATTTTTGCTTCCAATAATACTTTGTTCCCTGTGTACTCAGATTCACCCTGTCTCCAGTCTTGATGTCTTGAATTTTTATTTTCTTACATTCAAAGTTCTGCCTGAGCTCAGCCAGCTTACTGGAGATGCCTCAACACCAACAGTTCGGGATTCAGTGAAGGAGACACCAGTCAAGAGATTATTTTGCTGCCCTGTGATGGCTTCACCTCTAATATTTCAGAAAACTGCTGAGTGTGCAGAGGTTTAATTCCAGTATGTACAGTGTTTCAGAAAGATTTAATTTTTCATTTAAAATTATTTCTAGTTTATTTATTTATTTGAGACAACGTCTCACTTTGTTGTCCTTGGCAGAGTGCCTGCCACAGTGCTAGGCTAGTTTTGGAGATGAGGTCTCACTCTTGCTAAGTCTGGAATTTAAAAATACTTCTTAAAGCCAGCAGTGTGGCTCATGTCTAAAATCCTAGCACTCTGGGAGGCTGGGGTGCGGGGATCATTTGAGCTCAGGCGTTCAAGAGCAGCCTGAGTAAGAGTGAGACCCTGTCTCCACTAAAAATAGAAAAACCAGCTGGGTGTTGTGATGAATGCCAGCTACTTGGGAGGCTGGACAGGATGATTGCTTGAGCCCAAATCAGCTGGGTGTTGTGGTGGGTACCTGTAGTCCCAGCTACTTGGGAGGCTGAGGCAGGATAATTGCCTGAGCCCAAGAGTGTGAGGTGAGCTAGCCAAGGCAACAGAGTGAGACTCTATTAAAAAAAAAAAAAAAATTCCGGGCAGTGCCTATGGCTCAAAGGAGTTGGGCGGTGGCCCCCATATGCCGGAGATAGCAGGTTCAAAACCCAGCCCCAGCCGAAAACGGAAAAAAAAAAAAAATTCCTAAAAGTTTATTTACAGTTCCTTTACAAGTTGGTTTGGTGAGACTTGGAATGCACTCAGTTGGTGTGGTTCAGTTGGGGTGGGCATAGTTGTGAGGTCCAAATTAGGCCTTGCTGGCAGTGCTCAGGAGAATCTCACAGACATTCATTCTTACATCAACTCCCAGCTTATTTACTACCTCACGGGCAGTCGGGAACTGTTTTCCCCCAAAGCCATATTTTAGGAACTCAACAGCACTATTAACTTCAGGGGGAAAAAAAGAAGCTAAGAAAAAGCCTGGCGATGACTTGACTTAATCCACTGTTATACCAGAGGCCTAAAATACTAATTCAGTTTAGCCCAGATGAGACATACAAAAGTACAGTTTGATCCTTCTTTGAACTTTTTGCTTTGGTTAATCTGAAGTTATTCTAGAAAGTCATATCAACTCCAACAGCCATAATCAGGGGACCTGAAGGAGTTATTTTTAGTGTAAAGTAACTGGATTTACTTAGGGCAGTTTCTGGCGATCCCCTTTCTGAAAGGGTACGAAGCTTCTACAGATGGCAGCCGCTGCTTACCACGTTCAGCTTCTGCCTGCCTCTTCTCCATACTTCTAAACCACTGAGGTTTACAGAACTCTGCTAGAGTAGGTATTTCAAAAATACTTTAAGGACAGAACAAATCAAAACAAAACAAAAATGCAATACCTCTTACAATCAGGTCGGCAGCAGCAGATAGCTTGTCCACACTCGTTTGGACCATGCAGACGTATTTCCCAGCATGCTTCAGCTGGATGTTTCGGATCATCAAATCACCAGCTGAATCCTGCTGATAAAGTAGGGGAAAGTGGCTACAATTACTTTTTAATGAGCTCTAAATATCATTATCACATGAAGGACACTGTGACTAATGGATTTATTTTACACTGGCTGATGAAAACATTAGTGATGCAATCCATGGCCTATTAAAACTATGTGAGCCTGTCGGAGAGATAAGAGCACCAGCATTTTCAGAACACACCTTCGACAAGACCCCAGGTGTCTGTCTGGCTTCCCTGGGTCTCTGGAGCGGATTGCCACCCATACTGGAAGCACTTAAACTTATGGAAGGTGGCTCTTGATTTAGTCTCCTGGGTTTCTTCAGACACACTCTCAGCCCTGCAACCTTCACTGGCATTCTAATACTCTGAAACTCTATATTTGGAAAGAGGAAGAAAGCCCGCATTTGGAGGCATCTGCATTTTACTGCACAGCCCTGTCTTACAGCCAGCATTTTGATTGCTCCCAGGTTTGAATTAAAGGATTATGAGGATCAAATCCTCTAAGGAAATCTTGCTTCACCTACTATGGAATGGTGCTAATTTGTTTTCCAAATGCCAAATGCATGTTTGATGAGCAGATGAATAGGACCAATTACATCCTGTATGGATGCCTCTGTGCCCCAGAAATATTTCTACACCGTTGGCCAGCACACTACTTTTAATAAATACGAGGAGATGTTTCCACAGGCTATCACAAAGGCAGCTTTTTAACTGAAGAAGACTACTACACCTTGGAGTTTGGTTTCATAGCTCTGATAATCAAAAGCTTGGAGAACAGCTGCAGCCATAGCATCAGACCACCCAAGGGGCCAGACTGGGGGGAAACTACACTTCATTCTAGAAGCTCTCAGAGATGAAAAGATAATTTCGGGTATACTGGCTGGCCCTCGTTTTCCCAAACTGTAGGCTGGGAAGCTGATTGCTTCTAGTAGTTGGTATACTAGTAGCTGTTGCTAATCCCCCAGTGACAATATCAGTATTTAGGATATGACTGCTACTTTCCACGTGCTTTACTTATATTAACTCACTAAATACTCACACGTCCTATGGGACAGGTACTTTTGCTATTCTTATTTTACAGATGAGAAAACTCTACCTAAAAGAGCTTAGGAGACCTGCCTGAAGCTACTTAGCCGGTATATGGCAGGGCCAGCCCCTATTCTGAATGATAATGCTTCACTGTCAACCAGAAAGGCCTTACCTTCATTCAAAATTGATGCGTACATAATTTCCTTTCTTTGTTTAAGCACAACGCATCACACTCACATTTACTGAGGACCATGAAAGAGGTGAGATTACCAAGTACAACACAGGCTTAAAAGAGAGGAAAAGCACGTGGTGAAGAAAGCTACAATTTTGGTACTTCGTGGAGGCTGATCCTTGGTGTGTGATTTTATCTGCCTTTTAATCTCTCCGGGCATTAATTTATTGACTTTTGTAAGACCTTTGGGCTAGGTTGTGAAATCCAGTGAGATTTTGTGTATATGTGAAATCCTTCTGAAAACTGTGAAGTGCAGAGTAAATCTACACGGGTATCACTGATGGTCATGATCAGTTTTCTTTGTGAAACAATCATGTCAAAGATATCAAGTCAAATTTAGGAAAAGTTTGATTTCATTTTAACCTGAAAGCTCTTTTATTTATAATACTTTGGTTTTCATCCAGGTTCCTCTACTTAGTGATCAAGTCCTATAATTTCTCAATGATATGGGAAGATAACTGCTAACCTATTTCCTGGGGTCTGTGAGGATTAAATAGGTATACACTCATCCCACGGTATACACGGGGACTGGTTCCAGGACCCTGAGTGTACCAAAATGTGTTCATACTCAAGTCCTGCAGAACCAGGCCTGGTGTGGCGGCTCACACCTGTAATCCCATCCCTCTGGGAGGTGGAGGTGGGTGGATTGCCTGAGCTCAGGGTTCGAGACCAGCCTGAGCCAAAGCAAGACTCTGCCTCTAAAAATAGCTAGGCCTTGTGGCAGGCACCTGTAGTCCCAGCTACTTGAGAGGCTGAGGCAAGAGAATCTCTTGAGCCCAAGAGTTGGAGATTGCTGTGAGCTGTAATGCCATGGCACTCTATTGAGGGCAACAAAGTAAAACTCTCCCTCAAAAAAAAAAACTCCTGCAGAACTCATGTACATGAAAAGTAGGCCCTCTGTATTGAGGGCTAGCATCCTATAAATACCATATTTTCAATCATGTTTGGTTGAAAAAAAAATCTACCTATGACTCCGTGCCTGTAGCTAAGTGGGTAGGGAGCTGGTCATATACACCAGGGCTGGTGGGTTCAAACCTGGCCCAGGCCTGCTAAACAACAATGACAACTACAACAACAACAACAAAATAGCTGGGCGTTGTGGCGGGCACCTGTAGTCCTAGCTACTTGGGAGGCTGAGGCAAAAGTATGGCTTAAACCCAAGAGTTTGAGGTTGCTATGAGCTGTGATGCCACAGCACTCTACCAAGGGTGAAATAGTGAGACTTTGTCTCAAAAAAAAAAAAAAAATCCACATATAAGTGGGCCCATGCAGCTCAAACCACTGTTGTCCACAAGTTCATGGACTCAGCCCAGAGAAAAGGCTACTACATACCTCATTGCTGAATATCACTATGGTCACCTTCAAAGTACTCTCCTTGGGAAGATACACACTGTTGCCAGCACCTAGTCCACCCTTCAAAACACTTTTTCTAGGATGAGTTCTTAAACTTCATTGTCCCACATCATGAGAAAGTGCTTAATAAATGATTAGGTATTTTGCAAGTATAAGGAATTATTATCATCACTATTATTTTTATTCCTACATATTTACCTAAGACATTTCACATGTTAGGATTTTGAGTATAGGTTTAAATAAAAAAAAATGTCTCACAAGAGAATGTGTGCAGGTATGGTGAGAAGCCACATTGTTTTTAAGGCAGAAGTCAAATTTGCTTTAAAGAAATGTCGACACTATGTCAATAATTCTTTTTATCCACCAAGGGCTTGTATGTCAAAGAAACTTGTAGCCTGGATATTTCATAGCACAACAAACTATTAATGTAATTTCTGTGAATTAGAACGTACTCTATTTGAGGTGCTCAAACTTTATTTTCTCTGCTGCACACTGGAAGGACAGGAATAATCTTTGGCTACACATCAAATACACAAACACTAAGGAAAATGTTTAGCCAAAAAAAAAAAAAAAAAAAAGCCCATCTATACTTTTCGTGATGTCTAATACCACAGGTAAGCAAAAAAAGTTCCCACAAAATCAGTATGCAGCCCGCAGGCCGCAGGTTAGAAATCCCTGTGCATGAATTACAAATTTCGGCCAGACTTATATGTTTAATGTAAAACTGAAACAAAGAAAAAAATAAAATCAGGCTAAGGTACTCCTCACGGAAGGAGACCACAATAAGTTTCTCTTCCCTTTGAAGTCATCAGGACCAAACTGTTAACTGAGATACACATTTTTTTATGTTTCTACCAAAAAGAGCACAATGGCATCAGCTTGTTTTCCCACACTGTGGTTGTTCTGTTTCTGAAAGAGGACTCCCGGGCATCAGAGGACAATGAAACAATAACTTTTTTAAAAACCTCAGGAAGCTGACTCTCTCAAGCATCATTTCTACCATGCTGACCCAGGAAATAGAAACTGAAAGGGGCTCAGGTTCAGAATTGCATATACATTAGTAACGATCCTTGTGGCTCAGACATTTAAGATATCAAATGCTGTAGTACTATCCTAAGTTTTGCACTAATTTCTTTTCGTTCCTTTTTGTTTTATTGAGACCCAATGTCCTTCTGTCACCTAGGCTAAAATGCAGTGACATCATCTTAGCTCCCTACAACTTCAAACTCCTGGGCTCAATTGATTTTCCTACCTCAGCCCCACTCGGAGTAGCTGGAACTACAGGTACGAGCCACCACATCTGACTAATTTTTTAATTTTGTAGAGACAGGGTTTGACTATCCTGTGCAGGCTGATCTGAAACTCTTGGCCTCAGGTGATCCTTCCACCTCCATCTTTCAAAGTACTGGTATTAAAGGTGTGAGCTTCCACTCCCAGCCTGCACGTTTCTTAGCCCTAGTTGATTGGTGTTAGCACTAGTTTCACAGAGGGAACGTATGTCCCATGGGGAAAGAGAATGAAGGCAACTCTACATATTGATCCCTGCAACAGGTGGTCATTAGTGCTTGACCCCAGTTAGGGTGACTTCATCTGTGCCTCAGCCCTGGTACTAGTCCAGCAGAAATTTGCAATGCTGGGTGAGGTGGAGCACACCTATAATCCCAGCAGTCTGGGAAGCTGAGGAAGGTGGATCATCTGAGCTCAGGAGTTTGAGACCAGCCTGAGCTAGAGCGAGACCCTGTCTTTAAAAACAGCCAGGCACTATGGTGGGTGCCTGTAGCCCCAGCTAATCAGGAGGCTGAGGCAAGGGGATCACTTGAACCCAGGAGTTTGAGGTTGCTGTGAACTATTGACTGAGTGTCAGACAGTACAATGATGAGAAGCAGTTTGAATTTAACATAAAGGCCATATAAATGCCTAAAGAATAAAATTCAGAATTCAGCCACAAGCCACAGCACACTACAGAGGGTGACAAAGTGAGGTTCTGTTTCAAAAATAAATAAATAAATAAATGAATAAATTCCATTTCTGTTTGGCAGGACATTCATTCTGACAGCCAGGCATTAGTTTTGATTGGCTGATTGAGTGAATCTTTATCACTGGGAACATAGGGCTGTGTTAGAGCAGAGAACAATATATATATATGTATACATATATATATATATATATATATATATATATATTTTGAGACAGAATCTCAGTATGTTGCCCTTGGTAAAGTGCCGCGGTGTCACAGCCCATGGCAACAAACTCATGTGCTTAAGTGATTCTCTTGCCTCAGCCTCCCAACTATCGGGACTATAGGTGCCTGCCACAATGCCTGGCTATTTTTTTGTTATTGTTGTCATTGTTGTTTTAGTAGGCCCTGGGCAGGTTCAAACCCACCAGCCCTGGTGCATGTGGCTGGTGCCCTAACCACTGAGCTAAGATGCCAAGCCAGAGAATAGTATTTTTGAGAACAATTGCAATAGTTACAAATCATTTTGAGACATGACCTCTTTTGTTATGTATTCAATGACAATAGATATTTTTATGGAAAGTAAGGCATTTTGAAAATTCAACTATTTGAGTTCAGATTACGTGAAGATAATAAATAACTCAATCAGATCAGATTCTAGAAAGCCCTAAATTTATACTGAGGAGTTTTCTACAAGACCAAAGGGAATTTAATTAGCAGACTAAAACATACACAGAAATAATCCTTAAGCTATTTTCTTATTCAGGTTCCTTGGTATATGGTATATGTGGGGCAGAGATCTTGGGATTTGAAGTTTAAAGCTGAGTTCTGTTAAGACATTTACACTCTATACTAATGGATCCGACACGTACCCTTGCATTATGCACCATAGGTGTGATCCTACCATTCACCCACACAATAACTAAGTAAACGAGAGGAGATATATATTAACCAGTGTGATGTAAGTGTTCCTAATTCTATATGAAATCAGCACATTGCACCCCATAAATGCGTTAATGTATACATGATCGATGTGTTTATAATTCAATAAAAAAATAAAGCTGAGTTCTGCAACTTAGTAGCTATGAGACCAATGCAAATCATACAACTCTGTGAGCCTCAGTTTCCTAATTCAGCAAGCAGGCCTGCCATACATCCTCTTAGGCCTGTGGTGCTACATTTATCATGCAGAAAGGAATAGGAATTAACCAAGATTTTTTGACAGAAGCTGCCTGAACAAAATTATAAAATAGTAACTTTATGTACTGTTTTCAAGTTAGTCTAAACAAGGTTGTCAATTTTGAGAAGTTCAGCTGCATGCTGGGCTTCCTGTGGTTAGTCTGATATCAACACTTACCCCGCCAACTCTTTCAAAGTGGTCCCCATCTTTGTCGAAGTCTATGAGGTGTCCATTAAATGACCAAGTAAACACGATGTCTAGGGAGTGATCGTGAGTCACCTGGCACGGCAGAACGATACTTTCTCCAACGGTGACGTCCATGCTGGAAGGGGGCACCATTACCCTTGTTGGATCTGCAGAGTTAAAACACGACAAATGCCACCAACACAGCCTGTGAGCTCACGTGAAATAAAATGCAGCATTCAAGAGCAGGATAAAGGAATGAGCACTTTTGCTTTATTTTTTTCTTAAGCTGTGACTGGCAAATCTCAGTCATCTGGGAAGCTCAAATTCAGGAGGTCATTTTTAATATGAGAAGATGAAAATACTCATTCTGTGAACCTTCTCAGAGCAGGAGAACTAAGCTGGGGAGCACAAGGGTTAGATCTCTGAAGAGCTCGTGGGAGGCTTTGTGGCAGCCTCCTCTGAATTACCTTTTTGAAAAGGTTTTTATAGCATTTTATTTTCACTAGAAAGCTACATTTCAACTAAGTGCAGGTGGGAAAATCCATGTTGATTTGAAGTTAGTTGGGCTTTTTTTCTCTGCTATTATAACGGTGATAAATGTTTTGGTACAGTAAATTCAGAAAATTCAGAAAAATTAAAATAAGGAACAGAAATAAGGGCTGGGAGAGATGGCTCATGTTTGTAATCCTAGCACTCTGGGAGGCCAAGGCAGGTGAATTGGCTGAGCCCACGAGTTCAAAACGAGCCTGAGACAGAGTGAGATCCATCTGTAAAAATAGCCAGGTGTTGGGGTGGGCACTTGTAGTTCCAGCTACTTGGGATGCTGACATAAAAGCATCACTTAAACTCAAGAGTTTGACGTTGCCGTGAACTAAGATGCCACAGCACTCTACTTAGGGTGACAAAGTCAGACTCTGTCTCAAAAACAAAAACGAAAACAAAAAACCACAAACTAAGAGAGAGAGAGAGAGAGAGAGAGAGAGAAAATTAAAAAAACTCTACCACTCAAAACATCTATTTTCATTTTGGTATAATCCCCCCCCCCCATCTTTCAGGTTCATAGTTTTCCAATTATTTCATCTTACGCATTGCAAATATGTGACACATACAATGTTCTTTTTTTCCCCCTACGTAATATTATACAGGTATGGTTTCATAATTTTGTTAACATATTTTTATAACCTGCATAATGTGCTATCAGCTTATGGTTTTAACCATTTGAAGCTAGCAGGCGTTTTAGTAAATTGTGTTAGAAATGTAATTATAATGTAGCAATGAACATCATTGACAAAATGATATAAGTATGATACTTCTTCAAAATAAGGAGTATCAACTTATGTTTAAATCCACCCTTTGCATTATAGTTTTCAGTGGGAATAGAATGGGCTTGCTTAGCTGAGACAGTTTGTAAATGACACTCAAGACACTCAGAGTCCCTTAGATTTTTTTTTTTTTTTTTTTGAGAAGGGGTTGTGTCCTCAAACTCCTAGGCTCAAATGATCCTCTTGCCCCAGCCTCATGAGTAGCTGGGACTGTAGGCATATCCTCCCACAGTGCCTGGCTAATTATTTCTTAAAAATATTTCGTAGAGACAGAGTCTCACTATGTGGCCTAGGCTGGTGTTGAACTCCTGGGCTCCAGCAATCTTTCCACCTTAGCCTCCCAAAGTGCAAGCATTACAGGCAGGAGCCAGCCCACTCAGCCTGCAGGACCTTAATTTTCACTGCAACATGATTTCATAAATGGTGTCGGGCAGTACAATGGTGAGAAGCAGTTTGAATTAAATATAAAGGCCATATAAATGCCTTAAGAATAAAATTTCAAGCCAGAAATTTCTATGCACTACACTAAACCAAATCAACCAATCAATTACAAAGACGACAAACCAAAAAAACAAACAAAACAATAAAAAAAAAAAAACATCAATTACCCCTCTTCCATAGTCACAGGATTGTGTTTCAGGCTGTGAAGTTTGCAAATTATTTTTTTTAGGGGGGTGGGCATCAAATGATCCTTTATTAAAACATTTTCTGGCTCGGAGCCTATAGCTCAACCGGCTGGGGCGCCAGCCACGTACACCTAAGGTGGCGGATTCGAATCCCCAGCCCGGACCCGCCAAACAACAATGACGGGTAGCAAAAATAAATGGCAGGGCGTTGTGGCGGGCGCCTGTGGTCCCAGCTACTTGGGAGGCGGAGGCGGAAGACTCGCTTGAGCCCAGGAGTTGGAGGTTGCTGTAAGCTGTAATGCCATGGCACTCTACCCAGGGGGACAGCTTGAGGCTCTGTCTCAAAAAAAAAAAAAAAAAAAAAAAAAACATTTTCCCCGGTCCTTTTTAACTACCCGAGCATTCTCAGCACCACTGTTGATGTCATCTGTGATGTCATGAGGGTGGTGGCCATCAACACTGCAGCTCTGACTGCACTGTCCCCAGGATCTCTTTGATGGTTCCAGAGTGTTCTATGGCTAAAGGTTGGTGCCACATCTATCTGGCAATGTTGCAAATCTCATCAAAAGTGATATTTCCATTGTGTTTAATGTTTTCCTGTTTCTCTCTGTCTCTTGGTGGTTCCTTGAGGGCTTTGATGGTGAGGGCAGAGGCAGAAGGTACCACTTCAGTTTGGGCCTGTCTGTTCTGGATGGTCAGTTTCACTGTAATCCTTAGACCCTTTCAGTCACCGCTTGCCTTGGCAATGTCATCGCTAACTTTTTTTGGAGACAAACCCAGGGAGCCAATCTTGGGGGCCAGGGCAGACATAGCACCAACTTTGCCACCAGTGCACCTCAGGGACACGACTTTGATCTCACTGGGGTTGAACTTAGGCAGCAAGGTGAACGTGGCTGGTGTCGGATGAACCCGGATTCAGGATGACCAAAGAAAGATACACCTTGGCCTCCTCCAAGCCAAAAGCCGAAAGCTACAAATATTTTATTAAAATCTCAGCTGGGACGTTTGAAATTATATCTCCTAGGGGGAGCTTTAAAGGGTCTTCCTTCCCTACAGCCCACACTAAAATTTCCTTTTTAAATGGAAAATTTAGAATTTTTTTTATCATTTTATCCAAATACGGCAAGAAAACTTTTCAGGTTGTAAGAAAAGGGAAATCTCGGTCCTAAATAGATTATAATCTAGCAGTGGGGTACGCTTTTGCTGTTTTTGAAAATAGGAAAAGGTCATGATAAGTGGATTAATGTGCTTTTAGTCACTGCTGAATGAGTCATGTCCAGGAAATGAAAAGTGAACCACAGGCACTGCCAGCTAAGAGGTAATGGGATGGAAAATCCCTATTTCTAAACCTGAGGCTTTTGCAAGCCATGTAATAAAAATCTGTTCCATTGATTCACTGACCCTCAGGAATAGATACAGAATAATTTTTTTTTAAATGAGAAAAGGAGGTAAGACGAAACCTTATTCTAAGCAAAAATGTAGGCATTAACCCCATTTTGATTTAATATGTCATTTGACATGTTTGAATTTAAATTTTCCTCATCTATAAAATGAAAACTGAAACAGATAACCCCAGGCTAAAATTACATACCACTGTGTTTTTTATTTGACAAAGATGTTGCCTAACTCTACTTTAAATAGCTGGCCACCGATGTTGCAATTTAGATTTTTATTTTAACACATTCATTTGTTGATTTATCCATCAACCACTTATTGTGTGTTACATGGGTAGCAAAGAGAAGAATAACCCTCATATTGTAATAACTAACGGAGCCCCTTAGCACTGGTAAGTGTCTTGCATGGATTATTTCATTTATTCCTAGCGAATGGGTACTATTATTACGCCTATTTAACAGATGAGGAGACTGATGTCTCACGGTGGTTAAGAAACTTGTCTCTTGTGCTGTTCTGCCTCTCCTCGCTTTGCTGAAAACATAGCATCCATACACAAATCACCCAGAGAAAAAATCTACTGTGTGTAATATAGCAATTTGCACTTTTGATTATGAAAAGTCAACTGAAGATATTTAAATGCTGAAGGAATTCAAAGAATTCCTGCGTGGGATACAGATGGCTGCAGAGAGCTTCACTGCATGAATAATGAAGTCACTGCCTTAGACAGGTAACAAGCAGTCGTGATTTTATGCCTAACATGCTGGCTCTCGCTCTAAGCTCACACATCAAACTTACGAGAGTAGAGTCAAATGTCCAGGCGCCAGTCCCTAAAAACATCTTGTCTCCCTATCTCCTGACAATTTCTGGGCAAGCAGGAAGGAGCTGGCACAAACCCCAAAGCCTAGAGCCATTTGAAATTCTGGCTCCCATTTTTGAATGACATTTGTTTCCTAAAGAAATGTTCATCTCTTTATGCACATGTAGGGATCTGGGACAGATTTTTTAATATTGTAAAGTCAGCTGCCTGTTAACCAAGGACCAGAGAAGTTCCCTAAATAGAGGCTTATGTTGGTACAGTTGCTGTGCTGACAGCCGCTAATTCATTAACTTAGCACTTGTCGCCCATTCATGTTTTGAAGCCTGCAGTAGCAAAAATCAATGCAAAGTAAGTTGGGCACAGTACACACACCAGAGAGGTCTCCTTGGGACCAGAGAAGATTAAACTAAAGAGGTTCAAAATCTCATTAGCTACTTTGTTTTCTCAACGTGTATGTTTGTTCAGCACTCCTGTTTTCTGTGTTGTGAATTCTGATGCTTTTTACTTGATTAATTTCCTTAAATTTGAATACAAACACTGTACACAAATAAACAGATGGCTTCTTGCAAAACAAACTGTCTTCCCTTCTTGGGTTTTAATTTATCAACATTGGGAAGAACCTGTATTTATGACTTTTATTCTGAAGAGTCACTTCGGCTATTGTTCTGTGCATAGAACTCTCAAAGGCCATTAGAACTCGAGATGTGAACTGACGGCTGGATTTGGATGTAATTAAATAGCAACAATAAACAGGACAACACCAAACTCCCCTACCTGTGGTTGGTTTGTACTGTAGAGAATAAGTCAAGAACTCCAAAGGACTGATACTTTAAAATATATTTACCATGTGCTTATTTCCCCTAGAGTATTAAAACAATATTCATTTACTTTCTGTAGTCTTTTCTATAATGTCTGTCTGGATGGCTAAGTGCTTTGTACTAAAGATTATTAACAACCATGAAGTTGTTAATAACCACTCAGTTAACAGTCATATCAACAAGTAGATA